GTATTATTGTTGCCGCTGCCGCCATGTCGTGAAGACGCTGTGTGCTTCGTTGTGAAAGCGAAGCTACTTTGTTTGGTCTTCCAAAAGAGGACGATATCTGCTTCGTCATGCCTAGAGCTGATCCGTGCTGGTCGCTGAGGAAATACATCAACTTAGTGCTGTGGATCGCCGGATTGGCTTTCACCGTTTTCACCGCTCCTTTGCCGGGACCGCCGTTCTCGACCCCGCCGCCTCAGCTCACTCTTGCCCGGCTTCAGCTCAGGCTAAGCCGGGGCTTTCGCTCACGCTAGGCCGCTGTGTTTTTCGTTGTGAAAGCGAAACTACTTTGTTTGGTTTTCCAAAAGAGGACGATATCCGCTTCGTTATGCCTAGAGCTGATCTGTGCTGGTCGCTGAGGGAATACATCAACTTAGTGCTGTGGATCGCCGGATTGGCTTTCACCGTTTTCACCGCTCCTTCGCCGGGACCGCCGTTCTCGACCCTGCCGCCTCAGCTCACTCTTGCCCGGCTTCAGCTCAGGCTAAGCTGGGGCTTTCGCTCACGCTAGGCCGCTGTGTTTTTCGTTGTGAAAGCGAAACTACTTTGTTTGGTCTTCCAAAAGAGGACGATATCCGCTTCGTCATGCCTAGAGCTGATCTGTGCTGGTCGCTGAGGGAATACATCAACTTTCACTGTGGACGAAGCGGAGTTCAGCCCGGGGTCGTCACATGTGGTTGCCGCAAGCCCACCGGACGCTCCTTCGTAGAATCCGCTGCCTCTGCTCACTCTAGCCCGGCCTCAGCTCACTCTATCCCGGCCTCAGCGCACGCTAAGCCGGGGCTTCCCCTCACGCTAGGCTGCTGTGTTTTTCGTTGTGAAAGCGAAACTACTTTGTTTGGTCTTCCAAAAGAGGACGATATCCGCTTTGTTATGCCTAGAGCTGATCTGTGCTGGTCGCTGAGGAAATACATCAACTTTCACCGTGGACGAAGCGGAGTCCAGCCCAGGGTTGTCACATGTGGTTGCCGCAAGCCCGCCGGATGCTCCTTCGTCGAATCCGCCGGCCGTGCCGCTCTCAAACCCGCCTGCCTCTGCTCACTCAAGCCGGCCTCCGCATGCTCTAGGCCGCAGCTCACTCAAGGCCGTGGTGTGTGACGCTGTTTCGTTGTGAAAGCGAAACTACTTTGTTTGGCCTTCCAAAAGAGGACACGACTAGAAATCAGTGGTTAAGTTGTATTTACAACACTGTTTCCAGAACACTTCAACCCAAATATTCAGATGTGTGCAGCACATTTTATGGAGGACTGTTTACCGTTACTGATCCGGGGAGAGTAACGTTAGACTAAAATGCCGGCAGTTCTGACTCACGTAAGTACGTTTTCTTTTATCATTTGCCACTGATGATTCAAACGCGAGTTTTGAGCAGTGTAGAGTAGCGCTTGTAGTTTGTCATTTCTCCGATCACAAATGCAGACAGAGTTTTATGTTTACGCGGCGCGATGCAAAGCAACGCGTAAAAACACAGTATAAGTCATTATAATCAGTAATTATGTCCCCACTGGATGCAACAAATGCCTCGTTTGTAATGGGTTTTAATGTTTATGTCTCGTCCTTCCGGCCGGGACAAGGCATCACAATATGGTAAGGGGCGTAACATTTCCGTCACACGCTTGAGGTATTCGGCCAATCACAACGCACTGAATAGTTGGCCAATCACAGCACACCTCGCTTTTTTAGACCGATGAGCTTTGTAAAAATCGATGCGTTTCAGAAAGGTGGGGCATAGAGGAGAAACAATAATGTACAGTATGTGGAAAATAATGTGTTTGAACCTTTAAGCGCATAAACACATTTCATTACACCAAATACACAAAATAATGTTCTTTTTAGCAGCATCATATGACCCCTTTAAGGTAAAGGAATAGTTGGAATTCTGTCATTTTTTAATCTAATTCATATCGAAGCCTGTTGTTGTGTCATAGTAAAACAATTAATAAAATTCTGACTTTATGTCACAGAATTACCACTTAATATCTCACAATAATTGTTACTTTATTCCTATTTTCATCAACCCAGGCTAATAGGGAAAATGTGCATTTGAAAACATTTCTAAAAATTTTATTAGGTTTCTTCTTGAATGTTTCATGGCACTTTTAAAGTAAAATGTCCAGCACGTTCAATTTTATCCAAAAGAGATGAACAGATGTCCAGTGAGTGGGGCTAAAAGGTTAACGCTCTGTCACATTTGGAAATAACATACCACCTATACTGACCCCTACGAAAAATCTAACTGATAGTGTACAAACATAAGATAAAAATGCTTTTCCTGAAGCAACCATGCAAGTTTAGCTTGCTCCTACTAGTATTTGAGCTCTTTTATCAACAGTCATCATGACTTGTGTATGTTTCATGGCACTTTTAAAGTAAAATGTCCAGCACGTTCAATTTTATCCAAAACAGATGAACAGATGTCCAGTGAGTGGGGCTAAAAGGTTAACGCTCTGTCGCATTTGGAAATAACATACCACCTATACTGACCCCTACGAAAAATCTAACTGATAGTGTACAAACATAAGATAAAAATGCTTTTCCTGAAGCAACCATGCAAGTTTAGCTTGCTCCTACTAGTATTTGAGCTCTTTTATCAACAGTCATCATGACTTGTGTTTCACAGTATAGAAAACGCCCAAAGAACCACAAAAAAAAAAAAAAAGTCTTTATTAGTCAACTTCTATGGTCTGCCTCTGTAATATTTTTTTTTTTGTGAAAAGGAATAAAAGTTGTTGGTTTTATACAGCCACTAGTTTCATTTTAGCTGTAAACTGCAGTGAATTGTATGTAGAGGCACATTTTTCCAATGAGCTTCTGTTGGTTTTCATAGATGTCACTATTGTATCAGAAATATAGTGAATATTCTTCAAAATATCTCCTGCATACAAGATATGAGGGTGTGTAAATAATGACAGAATCCTATAAAGATCCAGCCTTTGAGTAATAGACAACTGTCACATAGATCTATCATTCTCCTTTATCAAAAATGTCAACAGTATAGCTTAGTCTGGAAAATAAATATAGGTGAATTGCACAACCAGCTCCAAAAATGGTGAAAGAATCAGCACCAGTTTCCTTTTTATGAAATACTTTTATGAAATACAGTTTACTTTTTGTCTTTTTCTTCTCATAGCCTTGCATTTGGCCCCTGAGGGAGTTGGCATGGAGGTGATGGAAACAGGGAGCCAGATGAATTGTGCATGACCCTGGTTTTGAAGAGTTTATTATGCTTGAGCGAATGTGCCCTGGCTAGCAAATAAGATGTGATCTAACCCAACAGATGAGTGTTGAATTTAAGCCCTTTACACAACCAAAGGCTACGATGCTAATGCTAACTTTGGTTTAGCCTGCAGAAGGGCTATTGCACTGGTGAGTTATGCTGCCTTCAAGTCCTGTCAGAATGATGGCATTTATGAGATTTATGAGACACTATTATAATCATCTTTAGATACGTTAGTTAACTAATGTTGATGAAAATACTACTCATTAAGGTGTTTTTTAACATTCTTGTGTGGTAAAACATAGACAGACACATGAATAAGGCATCTCATGTGCATTCTTTCACCTTTGTTTTGTAGCAGTAGCGCTAAAGGGTTTTGTTCAGAAATTAAGAAAATATCTCATATCTTGTTGTACTTACAGTTAGAGAACTGATAAAAAACATCCCAGGAGAACTTGAAGGCAGAATAACATCAACGTTTATTAGCGCTAATTTTCACAGGAAGTTATTGTGTGTGTTAGCGATTTATTTATGTGTGTTTGAAAGTCAGTCAGTCCCATTATCCAATTGTTGGTTTTACTCTTGTCTGTATGATAGATTTACACGCTATTAAACATGTTGCTGTCTATTCCAGACCTACATGAGTGGTCTGGTTATTTATTTACAGTCCTTTTCAGACTGACATGAATGGTTTGTTGTATCCACACTGTGGATAGAGCCTTTTTCAAATGTAATGCAGAGCTATGGATCAACACAGGTCAAAGGTCACTGACAGAGGTCAGCTAACTAACAGTGTCTATTTTTTCCTCTCAGAACTGCTGCTAAAATGGAAGGCAGTAATAAAATGTCACTGTGCATATTGCTTTTTGGTTTTTATGCTGCTGCTATGCCCTGCTGGATTGTTAGTGTTTGTCAAAGTATGCAAGAATAAAGTAAGACCATAGTTCCTCTCAAGACAGTCTTATTGGTTAATTACTAACATTTTCAAATCACTAACCTTTAAAGTTAAATTACATGGCTGATGTTATAATCTATATAGGTTTTTGAATGTGTATAACTTGAAGCATCAGTGAACCTGAAAGTCGAACATACATTTCTAATAGGGTTTCTTGTTTGGACTCGTAAATTAGTTAAGTTTTTGCCTTTATTGAATTTGAAACCAATCAGCAAAATATCTAGTGAGGATAAAAAACAAATACAATCGTCAAAATAAGAGTTCTCTTTGTAGCTTTGGTAACACTTCACATAGACATTCGGAGCAGATGGCATATTTAGTTTGACGCAAATTGAAAAGAGGCTATGAGGAAACAAAGTGCAAAAAAAAAAAAAAGTCAAAGAAGCAATAATTCAAAGTTTTAATTCATGTTTATGATCATGTCTATGAAAGCGATGAGCCCTTCGATATGTCCCATCCAAACTTCCTGTTTCAACAGGAAAAAAGTCAACACATTAAAAATAATAAATAAATATGCTGTCAGGCCTTTAAAGTCATGTCTAATTTTGCTCAAGTGTAACAAAAAATATATATATATATTGTTGACTGAATCATTGAGAGTTGAATTGATTTTACAGACTGTTCTATTTCCCATAGCCGTGTATTCAATCATTTCAAATTAAAATATGTTGTCTGCTGTAACACATTGTCGGTTATATTATATGCCAGACATACTACATGTAAATACAATTAATTACAATATTTAAATAATACTAACAACATGTATTTTCAGGTATGCTTATAAAGAGTTATGTCCATTAGCATCACTTAGTACTTACTATTTTAACATGAATACTGTAATGTAAATGGTGAACTTTAATATAACAAATGGGAAACACTGTACGGTTACACTATCGTTTTGTTTTGAATGTGATTAAAACAATATTGGCATCCCACAACTGATGCACAAAACCCAGAAACTCACAGAAAAGACATCTAGATCTTTTTTTATGATGTAAGTGCAGGTGTAAGATGTATTTGTATTAATAAATCTAATGGAAAAAATGACTCATTTAGATGATCATATCACTATGCCGCAGCTTCACACAAAACGTTTTTCAAGCTAATTTTATTATCTGTCAAGTAACAGATTTTCATTTAAACCGAGTCTTATATGATACCGCATATTGGTTTCATGAGACCTTAACCACTTACTTTTGTGAAGCTGATAAATGTTACAGTATGACATACAAACGTTCATCTGACCCTAGTTTAAATAGAACTTTTCTAATTCCTTTATAATTATTATGCATGGATCTTTATCACATCATATTATTTCAAAGACTAATAGTTGTAATGCAAAATTTGTCAGAACACAGGGCCATATAAAATGAGCTAGTAAAGGCAAAAGGTGATTAAAATGGTGAAAAAAGAAATGATGTTTAAAAATATATGCCATCTTTCTTATACATTCATATAATTTTTAAAGGTCCCCTGAAATGCTTAGAAACACGCAGCGTTACTCTATGTGTTGAAGTCATTTTAACTGAAACAGGAAGACAGGGCGGGACATATCAAGCAGCCCCGC